AGCAATTTGGCAACCGAACGGATTCGCCTCTTCGACAACTCACTCAGGAGCATCATCCCCTGCCAAGTTCGGATCGATCTTGAAGAGATCTAAACTCTTTTGAGTCTTCAGGAGCTGAATTGGCTCCCTTTCACCCCAAACAACATACACTTGCCTCCTGGTTGTCGTACTCCAGCAAAGATACGTAGGCGCCCATGTCCACGATGCGCTTCACCTGCACCACGACGATCTCCTCCATTTCGGGGAATTCTGCCTCGTAGTATCGCCCTTCTGCTGCCATGCCGAGATCCAAGTTCAGGCGGTCTTAACCTCGGCTTTTGGTCCGAACGGACCCCGGCAAACGCTGGACTGCTGCTCACCCAGAAACTGCGGCGTGGATTCAACTCTCTACCTGCTACACATGAAAAGAACAGGTAGCTCTGCTTGGAGCTAAATGCTCGATCCTCTTGATGCCAAACCAACACACCCACACTGATGCCTTGGGTTCTTGCTTACTCGCAGATTACTGTTTCATTACCTGCCAAACGGGTGCGCAAATAGCCTGTTTTCGAACGCTCTATTTTCCAACATTCTTAGGGGGTACCCTGATTGGCCTTTTCTTTTTGTCTTTGTGCTCTCAATGGGACTAAGCCTCAGACATCCTTACACTTCCTTGCATGGTGAGGAAACAGCATCTTTGAGTACTTCCGAGGGGCAGGGAAGACATGCCCATTTGGAATGCTGTTTGTCAAGTTTGACGTGTTGAACATCCTCTGTATGTTCTGTATATCTCTATATGCACTACACGCAACAAAATGTCGATGTTCCAAACATTGCTCGTTTTCGAAGCGGCGCCCCACCTTGAAGTTGGGCAATGTGTATTTCAAAACAGTGCTCAAATTTGCCCCACATGAACAGCTGCCCTGTGGGGCCACCATTCCTTTGGCGTTTTTTCGACTTGCCGATTCACGGGTAGGGCGATCCATTCAAGTTCTTGACCCCCCCACACCAAGTGACACGTCCGCCGCCCAAGTAGGCCAAAACTGCACAGGACCTGAGAACTTGAGCCTCTGGCTGCGGACCGAACAACACCTGACCGAAGAACACCGACAGTCCACACGCGCACGCCGAGAAAGAGCCGAGCATCCTACACCAAAGCTGCAGAAAGTGTGGCAAAGGAGAATGACAAGCTCTGTCACTGTTGCTGGGTCTATTGGGGAGGCCAATCTCAACGGCTGGTGTCGACACCAATCACTACGCTTGCCTTTGCACGGTTGAAAATACAGCGGCCCGGATCCAGCACACTCCGCTGCCAACAGGCCTTTTCACTCAAGCACAGCAGGAAACGTCGAGGATCAGGCCAAACCGGGAGGACAGTGGGGCAGCAAGGGGGAATGCTTTTTGAGCTCGCCCAAACCGCAGGGAAAACACTAAGCAAAACGGCGGTGCAAGCACCAACTCAGTCATCTTCGTCCACCTTTTTCTTCATGAGCTCATCAAGTTGCGCTTGGTCCAGATCGGGCATGGCTTCCTGCTCACTGCCCTCTTCATCCTCAGACTCTTCACCTTCACTGGACTCTTCATGTTTTTCTTCTGATCCCATCACTTCTGGCTTTGACCGCAGCTCAAACTCACCCTTGCGGCTCTCAATGGACACCTTTATCCTCTCGATCGCATCATCCAAGGTTGCCAAGCCTGTCTGCTTGTCGCGGCAAACGCACGTGAGAACAAAAAGTGGGTGTGCCACAAGGTTAATCTTTACCTCGCACTCTTCCTTGCTGGCTTTGAACCCTTCTTGCAAAGCAGCCTGCAAAAGGCCACGTCACGCAAGCTCTCTGCTATTCCGCTTTTTCAGCAGGCCTATATACAGATATAAATACAAAAATATACACTTTAGCAAAATAACTTAGACCAAAAAAATAAAAGTATATTAACACGGAACGCGGCCAAGCTCCCAAGTAGCCTAACCTAGAACAGACTGCCAAAACGTCTCCTCCAAGATGAAGAAATCTATGTTAGTCTCAGGTCCCTCTGTCCAAGCAAGTTCTATGTTAGGCTTGCTTCCCTCACACATCCTCCCTCCCTTCGAAAAGGAGGAGAGAACAGGTATTATACCTGTGACATTTCTCTACCTCAGTGCAGCTTACTGTACTGTATCTTGAAGGATGGAAGCCATTTGTGTGGGGACCCCTTTCCGAGGCCAAAAAATGTCATTTCTGGTGGCAGTTTAGTAAAAGATTTTATACAAAATGTTCAAGTGTTGGTTTGGTTGGTTTGGTGAACCCAGTGTGAATACTAGGTAGCCAACTTTGGACGACAAGTGCTGCACTATAAGAAGGGCAGCCAATACTGTATCATTACCGTACCGACAGAATCACACACAGCCGTTAACATAGAACACGGGGTGACATTTCTGGGAAGTACTCTACCTCATTGTAGCTTATCTTGAAGGATGGAAGCCATTTGTGGGGAGACCCCTTTCAGAGCCCACAAAAACAATTCTGGGTGCAGTTTAGTAAATGAGTGTATACAAAATGTTCAAGTGTTGGTTTGGCTG